TGAGATGAGAGAATCACTTGAGCCAGGAGTTCCAGACCAGCCAATATAGACTACTAGAAGTAACAGAAAGAGAGAAAGTGGGGCGGTGGGGGAGGGGGGAGGAGTGGGGACTAATGTACAAGCAAAATGTGTTTTATATATATATATACACACACACACACAATGGAATATTGAGCCTCAAAAATGGAAAATTCTGAAATATGCTCAAGATGGATGAAATCTGAGGAGGGTACCTAGTTGCTGGTTCAGTGGGTCCCACTGTGTGTGCTCAAGATTCAAAAGTAAACAAAACTATATGCTAAGTGAAATATGCCAGTCAAAAAAATATAATTCCATTTATATGAGGCAACTAGAGTCATGGTCAAAATGGAGCTAGAGAAAGGGAAGAACTGAGACTTATTAATCAGTACAGTGTTTCAGTCTTAGAAGGTGAAGAGCTCTGGAGATGAGATGGAGTGATGGTTATACAACAGTGTGAATGTACTGAATAGTACTGAACTTCACACTTAAAAATAGTTAGCATAGTGTCTTACTTTTCTTTCATTGTGGAGACAAAATACCCAACACCCAAAGTTAAAAGGGAAAAGGTTTATTTAGCTCACATTTTGTGAATGTTTCAGTCCATAATCAACAGGGTCCAAGGCAGGATGGCTTGGCAGAGGGGCATGGAAGAGGAGAAACACTTCATGGTGGCAGAAGACAGTAAGCAACAAGGGAAGGGGAGACAAGACTCTGTCGCTTATATTGTATGCCCACCCTAGGGACGGTGGGTATAGCACTCACATCCTTAATCCTAGCCATAACTATGCAAAACCCATCAGTGGGCTCACTTACTAATCACACACCCTTAATCCCAGTATCACACACTCTAGATCCAGCCACCTCTGAAAAAGCCCTATGCCCACATGAGGTTTTGGAGGGGACATCTAGACACAAACTGTAACACACAGCCATGCATGGTGGCACAGGCCTATAATCTCAACACTCAAGAGGCTGAGACAGGAGGATCTCTGTGAGTCCTACACCAGCCTGAATTGCAGTGTGACCTCATCTCAAAAAAAAAAAATTAACATGGTAAAAAATTGTGTCATGCAAAAACAGTACTAGATGTTTTAATAGGTTCAAAAAATTGTGTCATGTATATTTTACCATAACAGTAAAAATGTGGAGAAAATGTTATTAGATTCATAAATTATACAGCAAGGGACTACACTGAATTGTTTTCTTGACTATAGTTGTTAGAGAAGGTTTCTCTGAAGACATGATATTTATGGTAATCTTTTCTTTTCCTTGTTTTTGGTACCCGAAATCGAACTCAGGACCTTGCACTTGCCAGGCAGGCACTGTGACACTAAGCTATCTCCCCACCCCAAAGACATGATATTTAAACTGGAATCTAAAGAGTAACTTTTCAAGGGCTGGGGATTTAGCTCAGCGGCAAAGCGCCTGCCTGGCAAGCGTAAGGTCATGAGTTCGGTTCCTGGTACCGGAGAAAAACCAAAAAAAAAAAAAAAAAAGAGTAACTTCTCATTTAAGCAAAAAAGGGGGAAAGATATTTGAAGCAGAGAAAAAAATATGCACCCAATAGTAGAAGAACCACTTCACTACACAGTTCAAGATAGATTATGCACACTAATCTCAAAGGAATTACAAATTAAGCATCAAAACAATCTTCACAATGAACTGTTTGAATTTTAATGTCTGATAATTTTATTTTCAACTAACTTGAAAATGGATTTAGTTTTTATGGTTTCATAAGACTCAAAAGGTAAATTATCTGTGTGTGTGTGTGCAAGCATGTGCTAAGATTCAGCCCTCAAGCATGCTAAGCATGTGCTATACTACTAAGCTACACTCCCAGGCAAATCATATACTTTTGAGGTTATATATTTAGCATTCAAATAACTAAGTCAACATACAACTGTCTGTAGCAATCCCACCAAAGGATGGTAGGAATGCTTGAAATAAGTGGTTCTAGTTTACTGCAATAAGCATAAGGAACACATTTTCAGGAAAGCTATCCAGGAGTTACAAGCTGGAAAATTTCCAAGTAGAAATTCCGAAAGTACTTTATATGCATGCTGAACTGAGAAAGATTGAGAAAACAGGGCAAAATGATGTGTTAAACTAGTAAAAGAGTCCATTTTGGGTTGGTATTTAGAATTCTGAGTTTTCATTCAGGCAAATCTAATGTATCCTGTCAGAATCAGTTTGATTAAAGTCGAACCATTAATACTGCATAGAAAAGCTGAAGGAATGCACACCTAGAAGAGCCAAAGGAAAGATGTATGTGTCCAATATACACCTCTATGTATATCCTTGATACAGACAGAAATAATTTGACTTTCCTTTATTAGTACTAGACATTTCCCAGAGCTACATCTCTGGAAAAGCACTTTCAAACAACAGCCTGAAATATCTTTGCTAATCATTTAGAAATAAAACATGAAAACCACAGAAAGAAACCAATAGGCTGAATACCAAAGAACTGCAAAGAAAACTTTTAGAAAATTGACTTTAATGGCTATAAAAGACAATTAAATTCCAATCTATATTTTATATAAATTTGGTCCCAAAATAACAGGTTTATCAACTCCCCTCCTAAGGCATCACTTACATCACTAAGTTCTAGTCTTAGCAATGGGACTAAAAGTCCCCATTCTTTCAGAGCTTAATAAATGAAGGACATGTTAGGTGACAATAGGGTCAATGAAGCAAATGGAGAGTATAGCGGAGCTGTAATTTTAGTAATCACAGACTGTACAATATTGAAATGAGTTCAAAAGTGCATCACTTGTTCAACAGGAAAAACCTGAAAAGTTTACAAAATAAACATCAACAAAGATTAAATAATCTTTCCTTTCTTTTTTTTTTTTTTTCCCGGTACCAGAACTTTCCTTTCTTGCAGGAGAGGAGTACTGGGGGTTGAATTCAGGGCATTTGCATTCATCCCCAATTGAAAATTAAATTTTGGTCCCCAATTTAAAATTAAATTTTGGGGCCAGGGATATAGCTCAGTGGCGCAAGGTCCTGAGCTCGATTCCCAGTAACCCCCACAAAAAAATAAATTATTTAGAAAAAGTTTTATTAGTACATGTTTGCAGTACATAATGGTTACATTCAAGTCACCTAAGTTATCCAGTCTGGGCTTGAATTTGTAATCTTCCTGCCATAGCTTCCCAGAGTACAGGCGTATGCCACCAGAACTGGCTCTTAAGTTAATACTTCATTATTTTATAACTTCAAAATGAGTTTGTAAAATTGCAGTGAAAAAGATTCTTAAGTCCAAACAGTTGGCAAGTGCTTAGTTAGTAAATTGATGTTGGGCCTTATCCTCTAATCAGTTGTTCTCATGGGATGACTGTCTCATAATGGGAAATTTTGACACTATCTGGAGACATCTAATTATCACAATCTGGGAGGTGCTACTAGAAGCCAGTGGATAGAGGCAGAACCTCCTACAATCCATAAGACAGCCCTCACAATAAAGAATCATCAGGCCCAAGAATCCACAGTGCTGAGGCTGAGAAACTCTAGAGCAGTATGACCTACTGGCATGTTACTTGTTTTTTAAACAAAAGATGTTAATGTAGAGTTGTTTTTTCTAAACTAAAACCTCAGTATTCAGGTTTAATTGCAGTGTTGGCTCGCTGAGATAAATAAATGGAATTTGGCTTGCAGTTTGGCATTTGGTCTAAAAGGTTCACCATCAGTGCTCTAGAGATATAAGAAATAATCATGAGAATGTGGTGAACTCTTTCTTATGGGAGTGTTGTGCAGTACGAGTAAGAACCTGAGTTACAACAGGAAAAAAGTGACACAGCAGGTGATATTTTAACTTTGCCTGCAAAGAATAAGGAGAAAAGACTATAGAAAGATGGAACATTTTGAGCAGAGGGGTGGGGCACATTAACAGGCAGCCTCTCCAAGAATTCGCATGATCCTAGATGCTGTGCTTATCCTTTATTTGCATGAAATTTTTGTTTCCATGCATGAAACCTACTTAATGTGAAACTACCACATTATGTAATTTCACGGGGTCATATTGTCTTCTGCAAGAAATTTAGGTCCAGACAGTGTGATCCAGCAGAAAAAGCATTAATTTAGGACACATCTCAGACTCAGTTGAAAGGGGAGACAGAGGATGCCTGAACTAGTCTGCGAGGCTCCTTCTGTAAAGAAGACAAAGGGTCTACATAGTCTCTTTAACAGTTTCTATGCAGTGCTATTTGGTTCTACAGTTCATCGGACTTACTTCCAAAAAAAGCCCACAATCTCATTTTTATCCTTGCCTATGTAGTGCTCACGCCTGAAAGAGTTCCCTTCTTCTCACTCTCTAAAATTCTATTTATCCTGTCCTTTTAACTTAAAAAAAATTAAGGTTGAATTTACATACAACAAAAAAGCAGCTCATACATATTTATATGTGGTCGGTTTTGGGGTGCACACTGCCACGCAGGCACCGCAGCTCCGGAGAAGGCTTCCCGCTGTTCCGCACGCTCCCCCGGGTCTCCCCGCGGGACCTGCGACCCTGTACTTCCGGTCCCCGCCCTCAGCCCGGGGCCTCCCATGGCGGTCGGCAAGGCAGCTGCCCCGGCCCGTCCTCCTGCACCGAGGAGGTCCTCAAACGCCCGGTGAGCGCGGCTGACCGGCCCGGAGTGGACACGGCCTAGCTGGGTGTTCCTCAAACCCCGGCCCGGCGGCCCCAGGCCCGGCTCCGCGCCGCCCTCCGCAGCGTTCCGTCAGCCCACGGGCCAGGC